TTTATTTCCTGAAATTTTGATTTATTTCTGTTTTTCAATTTTAATTAGTTTTTCCTTTGATTGATTATCTTATAGTGTAGGTCCTGCCTTTGCTGGTTTTCACTTTTATTCTTCATTTCTTCTTAATGAAATATTTTATTAGGTATGTTTTGCAATGCAGGCTTTTGTTTATCATTGAAAGTTTTTATTTCATTGTAAGTTTTGAAGCTTTATTTTGTTGGGTATAGTATTCTTGGTTGACATCCATTTTCTTTTTTTAAAATTATATATGACAGCAGAATGCATTATAATTCTTATTACACATATAGAGCACAATTTTTCATATCTCTGGTTGTATAAAAGTATATTCACACCAATTCGTATCTTCATACATATACTTTGGATAATAATGATCATCACATTCAACCATCATTTCTAACCCCATGACCCCTCCCTTCCCCTCCCACCCCTTTGCCCTATCTAGAGTTCATCTATTCCTTCCATGCTCCCTCTCCCTATCCCACTATGAATCAGCCTCCTTATATCAAAGAAAACATTTGGCATTTTTTTTGTGGCAGGGGGATTAGCTAACTTCACTTAGCACTTTCTTCTCTAACTCCATCCATTTACCTGGACATGCCATGATTTTATACTCTTTTATTGCTGAGTAATATTCCATTGTGCATATATGCCACATTTTTTAATCCATTCATCTATTGAAGGGCATCTAGGTTGTCTCCACCGTTTAGCTATTGTGAATTGTGTTACTATAAACATTGATGTGGCTGTGTCCCTGTAGTATGCTGTTTTTAAGTCCTTTGGGTATAGGCTGAGTAGAGGGACATCTGGATCAAGTGTCGGTTCCATTCCCAAGAAATCTCTATGCTGCTTTCAATATTGGCTGCTCTAAATTGCCGTCCCACTAGAAGTCTGAATGTACCTTTTCCCCCACATCCTCGTCAACACTTATTGTTGTTTTTCTTCATAATAGCTGCCATTCTGACTGGAGTGAGATGATATCTTAGAGTGGTTTTGATTTGCATTTCTCTAATTGCTAGCAATGATAAACTTTTTTTATATGTTTGTTGATTGATTGTATATCATCTTCTGAGAAGTGTCTGATCAGGTTCTTGGTCCTTTATTGATTGAGTTATTTGTTTTTTTGGTGTTTAACTTTTTGAATTCTTTACATACCCTTGAGATTAGTGCTCTGTCTGATGTGTGAGGGGTAAAGATTTGCTCCCGAGATGTAGGCTGTCTATTCATCTCACAGATTGTTTCTTTGTCTGGGAAGAAACTTTTCAGTTTGAGTCCATATCATTTATTGATTCTTGATTTTAATTCTTACACCAAAGGAGTCTTATGAAGGAAATTGGGGCATAATCCCACATGATAGAGATTAGGGCCTACTTTTTCTTCTATTAGACACAGGGTTTCTAATTTTATTCCTAAGTCCTTAATCTATTTTGAGTTGAGTTTTGTGCATGGTGAGAGATAGGGGTTTAATTTTATTTTCTTTCATATGGATTTCCTGTTTTCCCAGCACCATTTGTTGAAGAGGCTATTTTTTTCCAATGTATGTTCTTGGCACATTTGTCTAACATAATTGTAGTTTTGTTTGTTAGTCTATTCGGTCTCTATTCTGTACCACTGGTCTACCAGTCTGTTTTGATGCCAATACCATGTTTCACAGTCTGTGGGTGTCTTTTCCTATGAAATGAGTCTCTTGGAGGCAACATATTGTTGGGTCTTTTTTTTTTTTTATCCAAACTGCAAGTCTATGTGTTTTGATTGGTAAATTCAGGCCATTAACATTCAGGGTTATTATTATTGAGATATGATTTGTATTCCCAGCCATTTTTGTTTATTTTTTGGTATTTAACATGACTTGGTTTTTCCTCTGATTAGATTTTCCTTTAGTGTAATCCCTACCTCTGCTGATTTACATCATTGTTTTTCATTTCCTCTTCTTGAAATATTTTGCTGAGGATGTTCTATAGTGCAGGCTTTCTAGTTGTAAATTCTTTTAACTCATGTTTATCATGGAAGGCTTTTATTTCATCATCAAATCTAAAACTTAGTTTTGCTGGTTATAAGATTCTTGATTAGCATCCATTTTCTTTCAGAGGTTGGTATATGTTGTTCCACGATCTCCTGGCTTTGAGGGTCTGGATTGAAAAATCTGCTGAGGTACAAAGTGGTCTCCCCCTACATGTGATCTTATTTCTCTCTCTTGTGGCTTTTTAAGATTCTATCCTTATTCTGTATGCTAGGCATTTTCATTATAATGTGCCTTGGTGTAGATCTATTGTAACTTTATACATTTGGTGTCCTGTAAGCCTCTTGTATGTAGTTTTCCAATTTGTTCTTCATATTGGGAAATTTTCTAATATTATCTCATTGAAGAGATTGTGCATTCCTTTGGTTTGAAACTCTGTGCCTTCCCCTATCCCAATAACTCTTAGATTTGGTCTTTTGATGCTGTACTATAATTCTTGGATGTTCTGTTCATGGTTTCTGACTTTCTTCACTGTGTGGTGAACTTTATTTTCCAGATTGTATACTTTGTCTTCATTAATTGATGTTCTTTCTTCCAAATGATCTAGTCTATTGGTTATGCTTTCTATTGAGTTTTTTATTTGATTTATTGTATCCTTCATTTCAAGGATTTCTGACTGTTTTTTTTTTTTCAGAGTCTCTATCTCACTCTTGAAGTCATTGTTTGCTACCTGTGTTTGCTCTCTTGTCTCTTTGTTGGAGGGATCAGTTTTTTGCCTGTATTTGTTCATTTAGGTAATTCTTTAATTCACAGATCATTTTAATTATGAACCTTTGGAACTCCTACTCTGACATTTCATTAACTTTGCTGTCCATGGGTTCTGTTATTAGAGTGTCCTGGTTTGTTTGGGGTACTTTCCTCCCTTATTTTTTCATGTTTTCTATGTGTCTTCATTTCTTGCAGTGTGGATCTGAGATATTACATTTTCTTCCCTATATTTTCATAGTACCCATGCAGATAGTTTGTACCTCACCTTGATGTTGGGCTTCCAGACCCTGTTGGTGTCCCTCACTGTTTGCTACTGTATCTAAAGTTGGTGGCAGAAATAGCAGAGGTAAGTTGAAATAATAGTTAAGGTTCCCCAAGATGGATGCAATATCTTACAGAGATGGGGCTGAAAGTGTGGGCCGCACACTTTCTTTGGGATGCCTGCTGTGAGATGCAGCTGCTTGCAGGCCCTGTCTGTTGTCAAAAAGTTAGGGGCTACTGTGTTGGTAAGGCTGTGGCAATGACTACTGTGTCCCAAGCTGGAAGTGGGTTAGGCTTAAACTCCCAGTTGATGTGTGTGGGTTGTAAATTCAGACCTACCCTGGACCTTGGTCCTACTTAAGTCAGTGTGGACAGATCTAGGCTGGGCCTAGACTCTCAGTAGTGTGCTGATTGGAAGAGGCAGTCCCTTGCTAGAGGCTGGGCTTTGGCGGGTGCCTGCTGGTGGAGGAGTGGACCCAGGCCTACTGTGAGCCTGTGTCCCGCATAGGCCAGTGTGGGTGGATTTGAGTTGCCAGGCTTGACCTCCTTCGGTAGTTTGCTGGTCAGAAGGGGCGGTCCTGTGCCAGAGGCTAAGCTCTGGTGGGTGTCTGCCCCATCAGTGGAGTGCAGATCAGGTCATCTGTTTTCTTTTAGAGCTTGGTATTTGTTATTCCAAACCCTTATAGCTTTGAGAAATCATTGCAGATCCAGACAGGTTTCCCTCTAAATGTAGTTTGTCTCTTTTCTCTGGCAGCTTTTAAAATTCTATTCTTAATCTGTATGTTAGGCATTTTCATAACAATGTGCATTGATGTGGCTCTGTTATCTTTTCATTAAAGTGATCCTTCACTTTCGGTATTTTCTCTCTGATACCATCCTTACATTGTTTTTTGACCTCACTGATCAGTTTAACAATGAACTCCTTTGACTTTCTTCCACTGTGGTGTCCATGGATTGTTATTGAAGTATCTTGGTTTATTTGGGCCTCTTGGTCCCTTGGTTTTTTTTATGTTGTTTGTGTGTTTGCCCATGTAACATTATGGATTTGAGATAGGAGAGTTTCTACCTGTTGACTTATAATGTTCCTGAAGATTTCTAGTACTTCATCTTCAGGGGGAGTCTGATAATAACAACCATCAATGCAAACAATGCGCATCATTGAACCAAATAATTCCTTCTATGGGATCTACAATGTAAATTTACATAAAAATCAGAAATTATATGATCAGTTGTTGCCCATAGGAAAAATAGTAAATTTACAAAGGATTTACAATTCTTAGTCATGAACAGTGATAGAACTGAAGTGATGTAGGAAGTTATGATTGTGAGGGAGGAGGAGAGAAAATAGAAGTAAAAAAATTAAAGGAAGATTGAAATAGAGACTAATTGAGATTGGCTGTTAGCAGTAGGCAGTAGAGAGAGAGAGAGAATTAAGAGAAGTAGATATGTGAGAAAAATGTATAAAACAAACATTTTACAAAAAAGTAGAAGAATGCCAGAACATAACTGAGTTATACTGCATTAATGTGCTAGTCCTCAAAATGCTGATCCATGAAAAATAATTTCCTTGAAAAATGCTTGAAAGGTGAAGGAAGAAATAGATATGAATATGTGTAAGCATCCATGATCCAATCAGGTAAGTTGAAAAGTTTAGATAAAAAAAAAAAGAAAAAAAGTAAAATTTAAAAGTCTTAAAGAATCATTTCTGTTGGAGTTCGAATGATTTTCAGTTTTCCTTCCCAGTTGTGTTCTGTTGGGTTACTGGAGTGTGATGGAAAATCCTGTTGGAGGAGCTCCTGGAGATGGAGTGTAGGCTCCAGGTTCTTCACTGAATGGCAGTTGGTCTGAAGATTTTAAATCTGTATATATTCTAAGCTCAGCAGTTCAACAACTGAAATACTGCCCCCCAGGTATCTCCCCTGGGCTCCACTAGCATAGTGGAGGAGCCAATCCTATGTCCCCACAGTCACTCATGTGTTTTTTGGTCTTTCAGGTTTAGTCTCCAAACCAAATAAATCTTGCCCTTCAAAATTCCCAATTGGACACCTCTTCCTAGTGATTTTTCAAGCAGCCAATCTGGAGGGGATGGGTAGGGAGCCAGGTGGGTTTCCCCTGACATGTATTACCCTGTGTAAACCCTTCTCATGTTTATTTTCTCCTGGTAACTTAGGGACACTCTGTGTCCTGAGGTGTCAGTGTGCTGGGCCTGTCTTTCTGGCCAAACTTGGGTTAGCCAGTAAATGGCTCTCCTAGCTGCCCATCCCACACCACAGTAGCAAAATGGTTTCTTCCTTTGTCCTCTCACACTTCTAGGAGAATGGGTCTTTTTTCCTTGCATGAGGATATTGTGCAGAGCACCTCTCTGTTCAGTCAGGAAGTGTCTTTGATCCCTAATCTCTTGGTACCCAGACATGCTGAGTTTTTTTTTTTTAATTGACTTATCCCTCTACATTTTTCAAGGAGGATCTTTCCAGCAGTCCCTGCCAGTGATGCACAGTGCTGGGAATTTTTCTTTATTTTATCCACCTCCTGAGTTCTGATCTGCTTTAAATGTCCAGAATTAATTCCCAGTAAAGCTTCTCTGTTTTTCTCCACCCATCTTGCTGAGAAGTCACTTGTCTTTCACACCATGGAACAACCAAGAAAGTGACTTTCTTTATTCTACCATTTTGGTACCTTAGGCGGGTACCTCTTAAATGAGATTTTTATGACCCTGTTTGGGGAAAGGTCAGAAAAATCTTAAGTTGTGAGGCCTGCTTTAGGGAGAAAAGAGGAAGCTAATAGTGATCTTCCTACTTCTGCAGTTTTCAAATGATAAGGTTCCATGGGATAATATATGCTAAGCCCCATCACTTTTGACAATTATTCATTAAACATATATTTGTTGAATTACTTATCACTTAATACTATATTGGGGCAAAATAGAAAACAAGACTTTATTAGTCTTAATTCATGGGTGCTAATGATGAATTTAAAAAGAACTATATTTATATATTTAAGTAAAAAGAAGAGTGATGATGCAAAGGGTCTCAGACTGCCTGAATCAAGGATTTACATACTAATAGAATTCCTTTTTTCTTAAGGTATTATTTTTATTCTCTTGGATAGTCATCATCATTAAGGCTCAACACCTGGCCTTAAGAAACTAATAATTCTCACCCCTCCTAGGTTTGCCATCCAGAAAGACTGAAAGTTCTTTCTCTCATTTTACATTTTTATGGAAGAGTGTTGCCTTTTGCTACTGGTGCTGTATCTTAGCAGTGGAACACACTTAAAACCCAATGTATAGGATTCCATTATTGGTTCATCCTTGCATAAATGCCTGCCCCCAAACCAATTATTTTGCACAGAGAGGGATAGTTTTCATTGGAACTAGATAGTTGGGGTGGGTATAAGAACATTTCTCAATAGAGTAGGTAGGGATGGGATTTGTGGCTCAGTGATAAAATGCTTGCCTAACCTGTGTGAGGCACTGGGTTCAATCCCCAGCACCACATAAGAAAACTTTAAAAAAAGAAGATTTTGTATCCATATACAACTAAAAATATTAAAAGAGTAAGTAAAAGTACTGCACAGACAAAACAGTATGTCTACTGTAATGAGAGATAAGGCTACTTTCTATATGTAGTCTAAATCTAGTGCAGGAGTCAATCAAGTACAATAAAGTATGCAAAGTGAGAGAGAAAATGTTTGGTGCTATATTAATATATAATAATACATAGTTGGGTGATGAAGCAAGCCTTGGAAGTAGATAAAAAGAAGAACTAAATTAACATGGCCTCTTTCTTGATGTATATATAAAATAAGGAAGAAAAAGATGTTTTTAATTATATGTGTTTGTTGTAAATATTGTAAAGACTTTTTCTAGCATGTATAGAATGTGTTTTTAGTAACATTTCTAAGATGAACATTTATTTAATTAACATGATGTATCAAGTAGTGCTTTGAAATATTTTGTTTTTATTTTTAAACTATAATCTAATATTTTCATTATAGAAACTGTAAAAAAACCATTCCATGTGAATATGAATAGCAACATAAAAATGCTTCCAAAGAAATGTGAATTAGAACTTCCAATGTCACCTCATTGTACACCTTCTAAACTCTGCCTTGATGATGTAGAAAACAAGTGAGTTTCAGCTGTTATTTACATTATTAGATGTTTAAACTGGTTATTATCAACAGTTTTATTCTTTATAAAATTATGAGGTACTTACCTTCAAGTTGTTTTGTTTATCTAATTATAGATATTATAAAAATGTTAGAACCTTTATCAAATGGCTGAATCATTTTGTACACATACTTTGACTTTCCTTATCATAAAAATGTCACTGTCATGTGTAACTAATTAAAACAAATTTTAAAAAGTCTATTTCTAATATTAATATAATTTTTATAAAACTCAGCCATATTATAACCCCAAATGATTTATTAAAATTCTTCATGTTTTTGTATGCTTGTGTAGAACACTAAGAGTTTTAAATATATAAGAAGTCATTTTTATTGTTGTTTAAATTTTAACCTTGAATTTTTCTTTTCATTAGTATACACTATCAAAAACTAGGTAACAAGGAAGAACTTGGCCAAGTTCAGGTGAGATATTTTTTTGTAAAATTTTTAAGTTGTTTTAACAATTGTGATATGTTACTGAATAATCTTAAATTTTGAATATTTGGGAAAAATCGTTATCCTTTTACAAAATGTTAGACTTTTAAAATATTCTTTTAAAAGCTTTTCAGTGTAGGAAAATAATACCTTAGTATATTTTAATTGATTCCTTATGAGAATCCCTTTGTAATATCAATAATGTGACCAGGCTTATGTGTGAATAATATTTGATTGTGCTTGTTACTGAACAGCTGTAAAAGACATTTCACTTAAGGGTTCTTATCATATGATTATTGAGCAGTTCATCTCTTCAAACATATAACAAGATTATTTTATACCAAGTTGTAATGTTTAATACTCACTTTAATCCCAAGATTATTTTTCTTTCAAAGTATAACAAACTAGATTTTAGCAAATAAAATTTTAATCAATAGAAGTACATAGATTGTTATTAAATCTTGAAATTTTGTTTAATGTCCAGTGCCTTCTTATTAACTCTTCTTTCCTTTCTTTGAATTGTCAGAGTTAAACCAGACCAGAAAGAGAATAGCAATGATACTAAAATCAAAACAAAACAAAATAACAACCAAAAAAAAAAAACCTTTGTAAATCTTGTCATCTACTTTGTGGTTTGATGGAACTCAGATTTTCTTTCATTAGAGGATAGCATATGGGAATGAAGCTTGTGTTTGGAGGGCAATATGGGTGGGAAAAGCAAAGGGAAAGGAGTTCCTAAGTAATATCTTAGTTAATAATTTCTCTCATATTAATAAATCGTGTCAATTAATGCTGGCTTGTCTTTCCTTAGGACGTTTTCCCCTGCAACCTATGCCCTTTTCACTTATTTTGGTTGTACTATTTTGACTTCTTTAGGTAATATGTATTTAAATTATTTTATATTTTTTTCTTATAGTTATCTCAAGTGAAGAACTCATACAGTATGTTTGAACCTCAGTTCAGCAGAATAGAAAAGTGCAATTTTACTCCACCATCTTTTTCAGCAGAATTACCTTCTCACAGACATATTCCAAAACAAAATTTAATTCCCAGAATAACATCTAGTCCTCAGAAACTTGTATATGAAAAAAAGCAAGATGGGAAGGTAACTTTGAATTTTATTTTTATCATATACTTCTTCAGTTTTTTATAGATTTTAAAAGTGTAGCCTGCAAATTGGTACAGATTAGAAGTACCAAATTGTACCAAATTAGAAGATAATTAAGGATGATTCATTCCTCTTAGATCAAAAGCTAAATTTTCTGTGCTCTAGAAAATTATGAATAGAAAACCAAGGAATGTTCTTCACTACCTTAGAAATTATCATTTATTTTAGAAAATTATTGATAGTAAAGTTGAAAATAGTTCAGTCTGTTTTATAGCAGTTTATGTTATGATCACTGTAAGTCAATATTTTATAGATGTCATGGCAACTCAGTTTGCATGATATAGAAGGCATCCTGTGATGACATAGTCTCAGTGATGACATAGTAGTTAGTGTCTTAAAGTATGAGTTGTGGTGGCTTGATTGGTTTTATGATTTAAAGAATGACATCTGTTTATGAGTACTTCAATTAATGTACAAATTTATTCTTTTTTTTGTGTGTGTGTGTGGTGGTGGTACTGGGAACCTAGACGCACTCTACTACTGATCTATATCCCCAGCCCTCTTTGCTTTTTACTTTGAAAAAGGCCCTCACTAAGTTTCTGAGGCTGGCTTCAAACTTGTAATCCTCCTGCCTCTGTCTCTTGAGTTGTTGGAATTACAGGCATATGCCCTCTCACCCAGCTACATATATAGAAATATGTGGCAATATTACATAGCAGATACTACAATACTTAATCACAGTTTTCTACAGTTAAAATTTTAAAAAATCCAAATTCTAATATATGTTTGTCATAGAACATATAAGGGAATGATTTACTAAATATATATAGAGTCAAAAATTTAAATTATTGAAGTTACTATACTAATGTACAATGTTAATGAAGAAAATGGCTATATAAGCATTATGTTTTATTAACAGGGATATTAATTTTAAATTTCTCCCAACTTTTAGCTTGCAGTGGTTTATACCATATTCATATGTACATTATCTATAAGTAAATTTATAATAAATTTATGATTTATAAGTTCATAAATAATTTTAGTTAAATACTATATTATAGTTAAATATAACATAATATAGTTAATTATGATGATTTTAAGTGTTTATTAAACGATGTTTTGCTGTTTCTTGAAGAGAAATGAAAAAAATTAAAGAACCTAATAATTTTTGAATGATGCAATGAAGGATATTCAACAACCCATTTGTTTTTTATTTTTAAAATTTTATTTGATGGGTTCTTTTTAGTTATACATATTGGTAGAATCCATTTTGATATAATTATATCAGCATGGAATATGTCTTATTCCAATTAGGACCCCAGTATCTCTCCTTTACTTTCCCTTTCCCCACCCCTCCTCCCTTTCCTTTATTGAGCTTTCTGCTATTTTCCCATGATTATGTTTATTTTTTAAATTAATTAATGGTGACACTCACTGTGGTGTATTCATGTATGTATATAAGAAAATAACATCAGATTCATTCCACTGTTTTTTGTTTTCCTATCCCTCCTCCGTTCTCTCTATTCCCCTTTGTCTAATCCCACTGAACTTCCTCTATTTCTGCCCTCCCCCCACCTTTTGTGGATTAGCTTCCACATATTAAAGAAAACATTCAACCTTTTTCTCCCATTGTAGATTAATTTGTAACTTATCCTTGCTCTATTAGCTTGTAAGATGGAGAATAAAACACTGTAATTTCTATGTAACCAATCTCTTCCTTACCTGTTACATATTATACACTATAGGTTAGCAATTAATTCCAAATAGGTAAATAACATACCTACTATGGTAGAAGACTGGAAAGAGAAGCTAATGTCCTTTTCCACATTGTAGTCATATTTTTTGTTCTTAGAAAAATATTTAATAGATTATTTGTGAAGATTTCTAGAAAAGCAAGAAAAATTAAAATGAAATATTCTCTTCTTTCTCTGTTTTTCTCTTTTGTGGTGCTGGGTGTCAAATCTAGAGCCTCATGCATGCCCAGCAAGTACTCTGCCCCTCCACTCCTCTTTTGGTTTTTTTATTTCTCACTTCAAAGTTAACTTTGTTTCTGCTCCTCTGTCACTGTTTTGAGACTGAGATATATTTGTTAGCCATCTTCTGACTTTGGTCTTTGTATGTTGTTTATTTGTTTGTTTTCCAAAGACATTCAGTTTCTCAATTTTCCTTTTTTTATTTTTAAATTTTTGTGATAGGGTCTTACTATATGGCCAGGTTGATCTTCAAACTCCTACATTAAAGTGATCCTTATGTTTCTGTGCTGGGATTGCAGGTGCTCACCACCACTACCACCTCAACTCTGCTCTTTTTGTTTTCTGTTTTTGTAATTGATTGTCTTTGGACTTCTCATTTTTATTATTCCTGGGTTTAAAATGAAATATACTACAGTTATAAATTATCCTTACTGAATAGATTAGTGTTGGGTCAAAATAAAGTAAGTTTATATAGAACTTTCCACACTAACAAATAGATGTTTTTTATGCTTTAATAGTCTTCATACTCTTATCCCTACTTTTTACTGAATGATATTGATATTCAGAAAAATTAAAGTAGTAGTCTAAAATTACAGTAAATGGAAGAACTGAGACCAGTGTAGCTGATTCCTTGAAACAAACTACTATTTTCTATCAGAAACTTAATGTTTAGTCATTCAAGATTCTGGTGTTCTGTGTGTTTGTTTATTTTTATAATCTTTTTTTTTAACTGAGAAAATGTTAGTTCACCATAGTATTAACTCTCTTATTTTAACAATCATTTAAATACTGATATTAATTTGTTGCTGGCTTTCACCTTTATTGTGCTATGGTGGCCATTGTTAGAACAGTATTTGTTTTCAAAAGGAACTAAAATTACTTTCTATTAGACTAAAAGATGCATTTCTGAATATAGATGCTGTTCACTTAAATGACATTTTTTGTGAGCAAGTGAAATTCCATGTATGTACATTTACTATTTTAATGTTTTTTCCATTTTTCTAGCTCAACAGTGTGGATTGTTCTAATTCTTTGGTTTCTAAAATAAATGAAAGTCAAGATGATCTCAGTTCATCATATAAACTAGCACAATTTGGAACGTTATTTGAAAGATTAAACAGGTAAGCAAAGATGCTGAAGAAAATGAAGATGTAGGATTCTCTACTCTCAGTTATTAATCTAATCTTAATGAACAAAAATAGTCATTAGTATTATAAACAGACCTAAGTAATATTTCTAAAAAAATGTTAAGTAATTTTTTTCTTTTTTATTTTTACTAACAGTTATTAATTTTATCTATTAATGGAATTTAGTGTGATATTTTCTTTTTAATTATTTTTTAGTTGTAGTTGGACACAATATCTTTATTCTATTTATTTATTTTTATGTGATGCTAAGAATGGAACCCAGTGCCTTGCATGTGCTAGGCAAGTGATCTACCACTGAGCCATAACTCCAGTCCCTCAGTGATGTTTTTATACACTCAGTATATGTACTGATCAAACCCAACTTTCCTTTTTCTATGCTCTCTACCCTAAACCCTTCATGATATCTAGTAATCTCATAATTGTACTCCCAAGTCAAATTTTATTAATGTGCTCATGTAAGATAAAACATACAGTACTTTTCTTTATGGCTTAATTCATTCAACACAGTGTTCTCCAATTTTGTTGTGAAAGATGGACTTTCTTCTAGTTTTTAGCTGGGTAACTACTCCCTTTATTTATGCGTGCGCGCGACACACACACAAATATGTTTGAGAGAGTGTTTATATGTGTGTGTCACATTTTTCCTTATCTATTCTTTTGTTGAAAATCATGTAGGCTGATTCTGTATCTTGGCTATTGTGAATAGTGTTGCAGTAAACATGGACATTCAGGTTTTTCTGATATACTGATTTTATTTTCTTTGTATGGGTAGATCAAATGATAGATCTGTTTTTAAGATTTTGGAGGAACTTTCTGTTGTCCATAATGACTGCATGGATTTACTTATACATCACCAATATATAAATGTTTCTTTTTTTCTACCTTCTTGTTAGCATTTATTTTTTGATAATAGCCATTCTGACTAGGGTGACAATATCTCATTGTAGTTTTGATTTTTATTACCCTGTTAACTAATGATATTATAGCACTTTATCATATCATTGTTTACTATTTATATTTCTTCTTTAGTGAAGTGTCTATTCATATAATTTGCTGAGTTTCTAGTTGGCTTTTTTGTTATATTTTTTTATTTGCATTTATATGGTTGGTGTTAACCCTCTGTCAGATGAATACTTTGGCAAGAATTTTCTCCCACTTTGTAGATTTTCTCATGACTGTTGGTTGTTTTCTTTACTTTGCAAAAGCTTCTTAGTTTAGTCCCTTTTTTTAATATTTGCTTTTGTTTCCTATGCTTTTGGGATCCTATCCAGAAAAATTATTGCCTTCACCAGTGTCTTAAAGATTTTTCCATTTTATTCTAGTAGTTTTCAGAGTTTCAAGTCTCACATTTAGGTATTTTTATATTGATCTTGAGTTGATTTTTGTATAGGATCAAGTTTCAGTCTTCTAAATGTGGATATCCAGTTTTACCAACACCATTTACTGAAAGGACTATCCTTTGTTTTGGTGTCTTTGTTGAGAATCTATTGACTGTAGATATAGAGTTTATTTTGGGAATCTCTGTACTGTTCCATTGGTTGATGTGTCTGTTTTTATGCAAATTCCATTATTCATGTTGTTTATTGTGTCTCTGTAATATGTCTTGAAATCAGGTATTTTGATACCTGCAGCATTGTTCTTTTTGCCCAAGATTGTCTTGGCTATATTTTATACATATGAACTTCAGAATTGTTTTTTTTTCATAGCTCTGCAGAAAATGACATTGGTATTTTCTGTAGATCACTTTGGATTGTATGGACATTTTAACAATATTAGTATTTTCAATCCAAGAACATTAGGGGTTCTTTCAGATTTTTGTGTGTCGTCTACAGTTTCTTTCATCAGTATTTTATTTATTTATTTTATTTATATAGAATAGCAGAATGCATTACAATTCTTATTACATATATAGAGCCCAATTTTTCGTATCTCTGGTTGTATACATAGCATATTCACACCAATTCGTGTCTTTATACATGTACTAAAATAAAATAAAAATGCTCATCACATTCAACCATCATTAATTACCTCATGCCCCCTACTTTCCCCTCCCACCCTTCTGCCCTATATAGAGTTCATCTATTCCACTATGAATCAGTCTCCTTATATCAGAGAAAGCATTTGGCATTTTTTTGGGGGGAGGGCGGGATTGGCTAACTTCACTTAGCATTTTCTTCTCTAACTCCATCCATTTACCTGCCCATGCCATGATTTTATTCTCTTTTATTGCTGAGTAATATTCCATTGTGCATATATGCCACATTTTTAAATCCATTCATCTATTGAAGGGCATCTAGGTTAGCTCCACAGTTTAGCTATTGTAAATTGTGCTTCTATAAACATTGATGTGGCTGTGTCCCTGTACTATGCTGTTTTAAGTCCTTTGGGTATAGACTGAGGAGAGGGATAGCTGGATCAAATGGTGGTTCCATTCCCAATTTTCCAAGAAATCTTCATACTGCTTTCTAAATTAGCTGCATCAATTTGAAGTTCCACCAGTAGTATATGAATGTGCCTTTTTCTCCACATCCTCAAATTGGCACTATTTGCTAATGATATAATTCTATACCTATAAGACTCTAAAAGTTCCACCAGAAAACTTATAGAACTAGGAAATGAATTCAGCAAAGTAGCAGGGTATAAAATCAACACCCATAAATCAAAGGCATTTCTGTATATCAGTGACAAATTCTCATAAAGGGAAATGAGGAAAACTATTCCATTCTCAATAGCCTCAAAAATAAAATAAAATAAAATACTTGGGAATCAACGAAACAGGTGAAAGATATATATATATATATATATATATATATATATATATATATACACACACACACACACACACACACACATAAATAACAGAAACCCTAAAGAAATAAATCAAAGAAGATCTTAGAAAATGCAAAGATCTACCTTACTCCTGGATGGGCAGAATTAATATTATCAAAACGACCATACTTCCAAAAGCATTATGCAGATTTAATGCAATTGTGATCAAAATTCCATTGACATTCTTCATAGAAATAGAAAAAGCAATCATGAAACTCATCTGGAAAAATAAGAGACCCAGAATAGCTAAAGCAATCCTTAGCAGGAACAGTGAAGCAGGTGACATCACTATATAGACCTTAAACTATACAACAGAGCAATAGTAACAAAACAGCATGGTATTGGCACCAAAACAAATTGGTAGACCAATGGTACAGAAAAGAGGACACAGAGACTAACCCACAAAACTACAATTATTTTATATTAGACAAAGGTGCCAAGAACATGCATTGGAAAAAGATAGCCTCTTCAACAAATGGTGCTGGGAAAACTAGAAATCTATATGCCACAAAATGAAATTAAACCCCTATCTCTCATCATGCACAGAACTCAACTCAAAATGAATTAAGGACTTAGGAATAAAACTAGAGACCCTGCATCTAATAGAAGAAAAAGTAGACTCTAATCTCCATCATGTGGTATTAGGCCCCAACTTCCATAATAAGACACCTGTGGCACAAGAATTAAAATAGAAAATCAATAAATGGGATGGAGTCAAACTAAAAAGTTTCTTCTCAGCAAAAGAAATAATCTGTGAGGTGAATAGAGAGCCTACACTTTGGGAGCAAATCTTTACCCCTCACACATCAGATAGAACACTAATCACTAGGGAATATAAAGAACTCAAAAAGCTAGACACCAAACAAAACAAAACAAAACAAAAGCAACAAGTAACCCAATCAATAAATGTGCCAAGGACCTGATCAGTCACTTCTTAGAAGATGATATACAATCAATCAACAAATACATGAAAAAATGTTCATCATCACTGGCAATTAGAGAAATGCAAATCAAAACCACTCTAAGATTTCTTCTCACTCCAGTCTTTCATAAGTATTTTATAGTTTTTGTTGTAAATGTCTTTTGAACTTAAGTTTATTCTTAAGTATTTTATTTTTATTTTTATTTTTGTAGCTATTGTGAATGGAAGGCTTTCTTTATTTCTTTTTCAGTAATGTCATTATTGGTGTATAGAAAAGTCACTAAATACATAAATAACAAGCAATGAGATGTAGTTATATGTTGATTCTTTTTTCCTATTACTATACTGAATTGATTTTTCAATTCTAATAGTCTTTCTTCATTGTTTTTTATTTTATTTGTGCTTTGTAGTTATATAAAGTAGTTATGTTCATCCTGATAAACTCATACATGCATGGAATTTGATTCCAGATCACGTTTCGTTTCTCTCTACCCTCCTACCTCCCTCCCCTTCCCCATTCTTCTTCTTCTACAATGCTAGACTTCCTTTCATTTGTGTATTTATTTATGACAGCATAATTAGCATTACAATTCTTATTACACATATAGAGCACAATTTTTTATATCTCTGGTTGCATACAAAGTATAGTCACACCAATTTGTGTCTTCATACATGTACTTTGGATAATAATGACCATCACATTCCACCATCATTAATAATCCCATGCCCCCTTCCCTTCCCCTCCAACCCCTCTGCCCTATCTAGAGTTTGTCTATTCCTCCCATGCTCCCTCTCCCTGTCCCATATGAACCAGCCTCCTTATATCAGAGAAAATATTCGGCATTTGGTTTCTTCTCAGCAAAAGAAACAATCTGTGAGGTGAATAGAGAGCCTACATCTTGGGAGCAAATCTTTACCCCTCAAACATCAGACAGAGCACTAATCTCTAGGTTATATAAAGTTCGGATAGTCTTTTCGTGGAGTTTTTAGGTTTTCCTATGTATAGAAATGTATCATGTACAAGCAAGGAAGTTTGACTTTGTCTTGTGCTGTTTGTATCCCTTTTATTTCCTTATCTTGCCTAATTGCTCTTACTAAAACTTCTAGTGCTATATTGAATAAACACAAGGACAATGGACACTCCTGTCTTATTCTAGATCTTAGGGAAAACACTTGCAGCTTTTCCCCATTCAGTTTGATGCTTGCTATGGGTTTTTACCAC